TATGGTTGTCCAGGCAGGTGAGGCATATGTGAGAATTGGTCTGATCATTCATGTATACAGTAGTTTTCTTAGTTTTAATGAGACATTCTGGTTATAGATGAGAGTCTGTATTGTTGTTGCTGCATTTGTTTTGTCGATTATATATTTGATAGGGTCATTCCAGGTGAGCTTGCTGTTTTTTTTAAGGTCAAGGCAGTTGGCTTTTTTAACTATTGGTGTTTGGATATTGAACAGTTTTGATTTGCATTGTTGTAGTATTTTTATTCTTCTTTTCTGTATGATTAGGATTCGATATTGGTCTGCATTTACGGATGTTTTCCACTTAACGCATCAGTCTTCTATTTCAAGAATTTGATCCTATAGTTTCTGTAATTTTATATTTGGATTTCTTGATTTGATGATGATTCCTGTGTTGTCTGCCTAAAAAGTTGTAATACTACTGTAATCTGTTCTCTTAATTGGATCTTTTCGTATATGATCTTTTCGTATATTTTGCCCTGTATGTTTAAGAGGCAGATTGGTCTGTAACTCACAGGGCACCTTGAATTTTTATTTTTCTTTAGAAATAGAACGATTAATGTTTTTTTCCAGATTTGAGGACAATAATTCAGAGCAAGGCAGCTATTTATGATATGGATGATTTTTTGTATATACAGTGAAACTTCTCCTAAAGGCCACCTCTATTAAGGGCCAATATTTTGAGGAACGAAAATTTTCCCCATAGACATAATGTTAATTTTCCTCCCATTAGAGGGCCACATTTTCCTGACTACCTCCAATAAAGGCCATTTTTTAAAAAAAAATTTCTCAAAAAAGCCATTTTTTTACATTTTTTTTCCTCGCAAAGGCCACAAATCTAAACAGGTGTGTCCAATTCTTTAGCTAAAAGTTTTATAATAGAAACAATATTGTTTTTTAAACTTTATGTGGTGAATCAGCTAATGTTGATAAAGATTTGTGTCAAGACTGGAAATCAAGGCTATCAATCATTCTGGCCGGCTATGAAGATCGTGATGTTTTTAACTTAGATGAGACAGGACTTTTTTTCCGTGTCTTACCAACCAAAAGTTTAGTTGAGAAAGCAGAAGAGGCCAAAGGAGGAAAACAAGCTAAACAGAGGCTAACTATGTGTTTTTCTGCTAATGCTGCTGGTGAAAAGGAAAGCCCATCGTCATTTGGCACTCCAAGAAACCTCGTTGTTTTAAAGGTAAAGATTTATTACAAATGGGAGTAAAATATCATTATAATAAGAAGGCATAGATGACCATGGAAATATTTAAAGATTGGTTGATTAGTTTTGACAATTAAATTACAAATCAAGGCAGAAAAGTGGTTCTTTTTTTGGATAATGCACCATGTCATTCATTTTACGAAAACTTGAAAAGTGTAAAGCTTCAATTCTTGCCTCCAAATACTACGTCTGAAATTCAACCTTTAGACCAAGGAGCTATTCGCTGCTTTAAATTAGAATACTGACGTTTTGTTTTGCGAAGACTCCTTTCTATTATAGATTGCGATAAAAATTCCTCACAAATCATTCTATCTATAACAGCATTAGATGCCATTCGGTGGATTTGACACGCGTGGGAAAATGTAAAAAGACAGACAATTGCAAATTGCTTTAAAAAATGCGAGCTAAGCAATACAGCTTTAGAGGCCACTATCGATGCAGCTGATTTAGAAAATGAAGTGGTTGAACTTTCAAAAGCTGCTGCAATTCAATATGACCCAAATTCAGATAAATATGAAAATGGGCTAGAATGTTACGATGATTTATCGGAAGATTGGGAGAAAAGACTTATAGATGATTTAGATACAGGTAAAACATTAATATACATTGTTTTAAGTTTTAAAAAAATACAATACATATTTTTTTAAACTTATTTGTTCAATTTTTTCAGGAGTTCAGTCTGATTCAGATAATGAGAATGAGTCCCCCATGCCATATTTATCAAACCAAGAAACGCTAATAGAAGTAAATAAACTGATATCCCAATCCAAGGCATTAATAAATGATGCGAATTTAACTAATTTGTTTTATAGAGTTAAGGAATCATTAGAAACTAAAATTGTTTGCGAAAAAATTTTAAAAAGTAAACAAACTTCAATTGAAAATTTTTTTTAAACATGTAAACAATGTTAATAAACAGTTCTTTTCTACATAAATTTTGATTTCCTCATTTTATTTTTTGGTCACCCCCATTTAAGGGCCACCCCCCATAAGGGTCAATTTTCAATGGCCCTTACCGAGAGGTTTCACTGTAGTTAGAAGGTAGCAGTTTTATCGTTTAATTTTTATACCATCTTCAGCTGATGCTTTTTTATTTTTTAAATTACGAATAATGTTGCAGGTTTATTCATTATTTGTAGGTTCGATTGTTTCTGGGATAGGATGTTCTTAAGGAAAACTGTTTACTTCTTCTGTGATTTAATTATGATGATTTTAATCTGAGTTTGGTGAAAACTGGTTTAGGAGGGAGTCTGCAATAATTTGAGCTTTATCTTCTATTGCGTGTGCTGTGCCAAATGATCCATTGATTGGTCTGTTTATCTGTGGTACAGTCTTGAATATTTTGACTATTTTCCAAATAGTTTTGTCGGTGGTACAGATAGAGGCGACTTAGTTTTGCCAGAGTTGCTTTTTGCTTTGTATTCTTATCTGTTTATTGAGTTGTTTTATTTCATTAAGGTAAGCTGGATCCGAGGTTCTTTGATGCCACATTCCATAATAATTTCTTAGTCTGATGATATTTTTAATCTTTGGAGGTAGTCGGTAATGATGTGCAGTATGGTCTGTTTGTATTGATGCATTTTTGTGGGCTTCTATGATTTCAGACTGTAGCGTTGCTGGTTATGTATATCTATAGTAGTTTCATCTTCTAGGGTTGACTGGCTTCTATTGTTAATAATGAGTATATTTCTGTAGAGGTTCCAGTCTGTTTTAAATTTCGATTTTTCAGAATGTTCGGTTGTCGTTGTCATTCCGACGAGCAGTTGGGCATTCAGGCGACCAAGGAGACTTCCATATTTGTTATTGAACCAGCGTCTTTTCAACTTAAACTGTATAAAATATCCGGGCATCTGAGGCCGCTTGCAGTCCTTTTCCCATTCATCTTGAGCTTTATCTGTGTGGTGCTTCGTTGAGGTTTTGGAATGCAAATGTGGATCATTGAGTTTCTGACTGTGTAATTATATGCAGTAGGGTGATAAGATTATATTGGAAAAGTATGAACTTTAGCAAAGCAGATATGATGGCAATGAGGTTATGTATATGCTATTGATGTCGGGAATATGATGCATCACTGTTACAGTATGCTGATATTGGTCTGATGTTCTTGTTTTCAGTCAAATTTTCAAATGGAAAAATTTCATTGAAATTTGTTGTAGAGCGAGAGGTGGTTTTTTTCGTAGAATTTGTTACTTAAATTAGCTATATTTTTGTTTATTGCATCTGTTTCGAGGTCATGGTGCATTGTATCATTTCTTACGAACCATCTGGCTTTCGTTATCCTTCTTAATATTTTATTCTGGCAGACTATTTTTGTCAAGACTGGTGAAGCATTTGTAACCAGCGTCCGCCCAAGGCTGAAAGTCTATATCTATCACGTTGAAAAAGAGTAAAAATTGGTAAAAATTTAGCTTTTTTTGTGAGTTGTAAAATATTCATTACTACCAAATTTTTCAAAGGATTCAATTTATACATTGAGCAGCTTCTTTCTTGAGAAAAAATTAACAGCAATGTGTTGTTTAAAGCGAAGAATCAATTATTGAAATAGTTCTACTACTAGTGCTTTCTTCTTTCTGTTTTGGGACCTAAGTCCGTCATAAAAGACAAACTTTCCAATGATTTAAACATTCAGAACAAAGTACTTATTGTAACATTTATTGAAAAGTTCATTAACATTAGTAATAATTATACAAAATCAGTGCTTGCTGTAAGCTATCTTTTCAGATTCGTCAGCAATCTAAAAAGTCCAACTGAAAAACGCTTATCAATTTTGAATTCAAGGAAATTCGCCAAAGTGAATTATTCATAATACAAGAAATTCAAAAACAAAAATCTCCGGAATAAATATGGAGTTACAGTCGCGGGAAAAATATCTTCCTGATAAAAGTAAATAAAAAGTTTATATCATATTTTTTTTTTGACAGAGATGGAGTACTTAGAGTCAAATATAGAATAGGACATGCTAATATTAGTTTTATCAGTGAATTCTCAATTATTCTACCTAAGATTCATCAATTAAATAAGCTAAATTTAGAATCCTACCGTAAATGATATTTCTATTTAGGTCCTACTGCTTTACTACATTACNGGTGTGACTATTTTAAGTTGGGATGGGGATCACTGTTTTGAAGTGGTTTCGGCTTGGATTGGTTTAGATTAAGGGAATCTCTTTCTACTGTCTATTGTGTCATTCCTAGAGTAAAGCTACCCTCCCTAAAATGATGCGCCATTCTTGTTTCCATAGCACCAGATGGCCTCAGACTTTGTGAAGGGAGGAGTTCATTGCTTTGACAAACTATAGATGTGTGGTCCATTCCTTATTAAATATAAACATCAAAGGAGAGGAATTTATCGTAATACTTTGTATGCTTAGACACATAAGGTGCTCACCTGAAAAGTGTGACAGATTTAACGCCAGAAGCTCTTGTAGCATGTTTAAAGAAATTTGTGGCTAAAAGAGGTGTATATGCCCAAAATTACTTTCAGATAATGCCAAATTCAAGGTAGAACTTCCCTTCACCTAGAGCTCTCAAATTTGGTAGCCTCTGAAAAAGTGCAGTTAAGCCGTTTAAATATAATTTTTAAAGGGTTTTAGGAAATTCCAGAATGAGCTATGAAAAATTCCTAAGAGCCGTTTGTCAAATAGAAGCATTTCTCAACTCCAGACCGCTTGCACGTCTGTCATCCGATACTGATGTGAATGATGATGTCTTAACTCCTGTCCATTGTTTAATTGGTAGATCCTTAAATACTGTTGTAGAGTCAAAATTAGTTGAGGTGAGAGATAATCCATTATCTAACTGGAAAAGACTAAAAAAAATTATTCACGTTTTTTTAAAAGAAATGGAAAATACAGTGTCTCAATAATTTGCAACAGAGGTCCAAGTGGATGGTAGAGAAAATAGTGCGTGGAGTTCCTCCGCGCGGAAGAAGTTAAACTTCGCAACCTGCGACGTTAATTGTAGAAGAATCAGCAGTCGTAGAAGGATCACTAGTTCTATTCAACGACTCTTTTTCTTGCTCCGCTCGCTTCCATGCTCTGTAATCCCTCGTGTGCATTTTGCCCTCGTGGACCTTTTGAACCAGTGGAAGTCCTTGTGTTTGCCTCATCGTCTCGCCCTGGAAAATGTGTTTGTAATGTATGTGAATGCGTCATAATGAAATTTCAGAAAGGAAATAATCAATTGATATTCATAAGTGACGTACCTTGACATAACCTTAAATCCGTCGCATTGTCCGGGGTATTGTTTTCACTCATTTTTTACAATTGTCATCCACTAAGTTTGAAAATGAAAAATACTACCCTATTAAATTATATGTGTATCAAATCAAACTAAAAAAATATTTATAGATAAACAATATTTTTATGACTTTTATTATTTTTATGCTAGTGAGAACCAAAACAATATGGAAATGAATGAGGGAAAACTGGATCCTACCACGTGATTTCCCGGCCAATAAAAATGTAGGATTAAACGTTTAACGCAACCTTGTTGGAAGTCGCATAAAAAGTATAACTTCAAAAATTGTTGTAAAAGTCATTGAGTTAGTACCTCTAAAAAAT